TGTTTCACACCATTGAAGAAGCATTAGAATATATGTTTTCTAAGGAGATTGAGCCAGATGGAATTACTTTACCGTCTGAGAAGGACCAGTTAACTGACAAAGAGTGCTTTGATGATGATGAAATGATCACTCCATTGGTAAAAACATAAATGATTTTGGACCTAACATTATGGAACAACTGCCATCTACACCTAGCGCCAGTAATGAAAATGAAAATAAAATAGAGTCAGTTCGAAATTATCAAAAAAATGCAACCAAAAGCAAATTGGACAAAAAATAACTCTACTTATGCTTTTAACACAGAAGGTAATTTGTCTGGTGAAAATCTTGCGACTATTTCAAATATTTTAGAAAATATGAATCCACTTGAAATTTTTGAAGAATTTTTAACTCTCGAATTTTACGAATGTGTAATAAATGAAACAGAAAGATATGCGAAACTGTGGGAAAATAAGACAACCCTATACAGTTTTGCTATAAATCATGGGCCATGTGTGAAGTCAAGGACTACTGTTAGAATTTTGACTTATACTGTGGTGCGAAGAATGTTGACAATACTCTTGAAGCTTCCAATGAACCGTTTGGAACATGAGTGGTGAAAAAAACATAAAAGACATCTGAAGACATATCGCAGTTGCATACTTCAAACTGGGAACAAATTCGAAGAAAAGCATTGGAAAACATTTGGTGATGTCATAGAAACCAAAGTGATAGGCTCTGTACATTTAGATGGAAAAGACCACATTATAGGTAAAAGACGAAACCAAAGACGAAGCCAATTTCAAAAATGGAAGGGAAGTCCTATTAGGTTTTGTACAAAACGCGATGTAACACTTTGTGTGAAATGTTTTCCGGTGTATCACATTTAAATATTGCAAATTTGCTCAATAAAAATATAACTAAGGAAGTTTAGATAAGTAAAATAAGATTTTTTTCTTTTGAATCTTATTGTTGGTTTTAATTTTGCAAAAAATTCACATTTTTTTAACTAAATTCGCAAATTTGTAGACATAAGATCAAAGAGCAAATACTTGTTCTTTTATTACCAGAAGTGCCCAGCGATCTATTTTTAGTTCACCTATTATCTGAACTTTCAATTATGGTAATTGAATGAAACTTCATAATTCCTTTATTTATGATATAAAAATGTAATTTAAAATATTTTTCAAAAATTCTCATTTTAAAATAATTTGGGCGTTAATGGGTTAAATGATATCTAAAGCTTCTAATGCTTTTTTTTTTTTTTGGTTACTCTATGTCCCTTGGATATCACCAAGTTGTTGTTTTGTTTAAGCGTTCACCTGAGCAGTTGAATGTTATGGAAACCCTATTATGGCCTGATTGCGATAAATTTGACTGATGAGAAAATACTTGTAAGGGCTTATTTATGCGTTGAATGCTGATTATATATTTTTGTTTTAATTATGTTTTAGAAGCCATTTTACTGGAGAAGGCATTGGACGTAAATAGGAATGATGCCAAAAAACTGCCAATTTTCACCAAAGGGTACCCTGAAATATATTTTTACCTCCCCCCCCCCCCGAAAAAAAAAGGAAACGTTATTTTAAATCACTAGAATAGATTAAGATCATAGGCAATACAAAGCTAAATATATGCAATCATGAGAACTGGCAGTTTCAGATTTTAGATCATTTATACAGTAAGACTGCATTTATAAATTATGAAATCAAAAATATGAAATGCCTTTGATGAATTAATGAAATATTTATGGCCTCAAAAGAAGTTAATTTGCAAAAAAGAACAAAAAAGCTCAATGTTTATGTATTAACACCTTTGTCTTTAATTTTATCGAGAGATATAATTTCTTGTTCAAGTACAAAATTTCACTGTTCAAGTCCTATAATGACCATGTTAACCACTTAAGTAATTTACTTGAAATATTTTTATCCTCTTAGCCACTTTACCATTTTCTTCCTAATCAGTGATGATAATTTGCAGATTTAAAACCATACTTCAATGTTTAGTGATGGGCTTGCATTATTCCTACCATTTACTAAATGGTGATTTTGACACTGTCATCACATTTTTCTTCCCAGCTATGCTAATGAAAGGAAACCAGAAAGTGCAACATGACGCTCCAAATAAATATTGGTCTTTGGGATTCACTTATTAAGTAGAGGACTAGAAAAGGTTAATAAGGTTTAGGCTTTACAGAAGAGAAGCCATACATGATAAAATAAATAAAATAATCATTCAAAGCCTAAATGAAAACAAGACTAAAACGAAAATGTGATTTGTCAGCCTGCAACTGTTAAAAGCTTAAAAAACATTCAGGATGATTCAAAAGATTTTTAAAAAATTTATGGAAGGTCTGGATTCCATATTGAACATGAGTGAAGGTTGAAATTTTTTAAAGACAGAAAAAAACCTGAAGATTTCCCAGTCATTTCTATAAAGAACTTTTGATTAACATGTAATTAGATATGCTTGTTTACCAAATAAATCCAATAGGCTCATATCAGTGATATTGGTCATGGTAGTTGAATGTTATAGAATGAAGCAATGGGATATTTTGCAAGAGCTTTTGTAGTGTGTATTGTTGAGGAAGTGCATTCCTTGTTTCATTGTTTAAATGGTACAATGGCTGAATGTAGTAAGGTTAATTTGAAGTTTCTGTACGATTTTGAACGAAAGGGGAAAAGTGCATTAATTGACTGGTGTGTAAATGAAGGTTTACTTATAGCCATTTTCCGGACAGTCCGAAACTACGTAGTATATTTTTTACTCTTATTTTTGTGAATTTATGTGCCTACGCTGATATACAAATTCTAGTTCAGATAATTTTAGGAAGTTTTTGGATGCTGTTAAGGAATTTTGTGTGCCGCAGACTGAAGACAAACGAATTTCTAAATAAGGTAAGTGAATATTTGCTTTGTGTAGTGCTTAAATGAATAACAGGTTTTTCCTTTTCTATGTTATTTCATTGTTTGGTTTAAAATGTAGTTTATTGAGATTATGCATTTTTTGTTTGCTTCTACTGTTGAATTGGGTGTTTCTTTGACGTTTTAAGTGAAAATATATCGATATGCGCATAGACAAACTCAGGGAGTGTGTAAGCTTGTGCAATTCTCTGATTTTTTTTTTTTTTTTTTAGTGAAAATAGGTCGATGTGTATATGGATAAAGTTAAGGGAGTGTGCAATGTCATTTTTGTGCAATTCTGGGATTTTTTTCAGGTGAAAATAGGTTTATATGTATGTACATGGATACCGAGTTTGTGCAATTCTTCGTCTTGTTATTTTGGCTTTGTGTAGCCACGATTTTTGCTCCAAAAATCGCCGCTACACAAGTTAAATAACAAGTCAAAGAACTGCACGAACTCGGTATCCATGTACCGCTAAAAATCGCCAAGGTGTACCCTAACACATTTAAGCCTGATACTATAATGAAATGTGTTGAGTCTATGTTGTCCATCTGAAAAGTGTTCCAAAAGAAGAATATGTGGTCCAAATTTGACCATAAAAGTGCTCAGAAGTTTAACATATCGCTAAGTAAAAGATCTCCACATGCTAAGAATATTTTCTATATCTAGTAATCTGTAGTCTTTTTATATTATTGCAGTATATGTCTGTGACTTACTGAATAATTCAGCTGGTTTAAATAGAGCTACTTTCACAAAATTATTTGAAAGAAACTACTAGCATACAATCCAGTACATTAAACATCCGAGCAATTTAATTTTGGAAAACACTCAAAGCAGTTGTGTTATGTGAGAGTCTTGTAAGAATGGAAACCATTATCTATAAAGTAAACCATTATCTATAAAATCACAAAGCTACTCCAATATGGAAGAAAATAATCTGTAATTCTCAATGAATATGAAGAGAAATACATTATACGTGAAAAGCATACACATGAAAACTTATAGACCCTGCCTCCAAAAACATCACAACTTGGAAGAATTATAATATTTGGCCATTTTTTAAGCTAAACAGGACATGTACAAGCAACACATTCACGTGATCCTTTTACTGTTAAAATGAAATAAACAAATTTTTGCACTAATTGGCACATTATTTATCTTTAATGCTTGCAGTAGCTAAAAGCATGCCACAGTTCATCATGAGGAAGGGGCACACATACCTGGCAAGCTCTATTGGCTACCCTTACAGAATTAAATGCCCCCAACTCCTAGCGGCAATCCAAGGAGGCATAACTCCCCCTTCCGGTCAACCCAGGGGGATAATCTTTGCTCCACTAAATCTGGGTTTTTTTAATCACAAATCAGTAATGGATGGCTATGCATCCACCACAAAGAGAACACAGTTAAACATCAACCATTCCCCAGAGTTGACCAACGGGAGCCAAACACCCAAAGACAGCCTTCAATACCAGACCATGTAAGATCCCCACAATCAAAGAGCAGACACGAAGGTACCAGTGCAATCCTTGCCGAGACTGAACATTACCACCATATAAACAATTTTTCTAGTTACTGTGAAGGCTGTTAATTTTTTTGCTAGAATACCAGGATTGCACCCAGTCAACACCAGTGGCAACAAATGCATTAGACAAATTATAGACAAGTGATTTCATCTTCAAATACATAATCATTCAACTTGGAAAATGTAAAACATAATCAGATTCTTAGGAATCTACATAAAAGAAGTAGAAACAACTTGATCACAGCACCCCACAGTTAGTCATACCTAGTTCATAGATTCAGAATTCATGATTAGCCAGTAAAATTTAGTGATAACCAATTTAATAACGTGTGATACTACGTAAGTGATTTTGACACATACGTGATTTGACATTAAACGGTGATAATAAATATCCCTTATTCCCAAGCATTATTAAAATATTATGTCTGATTAATAGACAAGTACCAGTAATTGCTATTAATCATGTGATCTTTAATACCCAGTACTACTTCACTAATAAAATAATAATAAAATTTTAATAACACATTAAAAATGAAAGGTGAATCTTTAAGAATATTAGACTTACTAAAAAGAAAGTATACAAATTAAAACTTACCTGCAGAAACAGTAGATGAAATTAATAAAATGATGATAAAACATGAAAACAACTTTAACAATGACATATAAAAAAATGAGTAAGCATAATGTGAAAACATGGACGGAGTCGCAGCACAATTTGTTCTTGATTTCATGTGGCAGATATCAGAAATTGATTTATCACAATATTTCTTTTCAGGAACTTTCAATAACTTAGCCACTTTAATGTTTAATTTATGCCATATGGAAAATGGAACGTTTAAAATCCTTAGCCACCTTTTGTCATTGTCTGTAAATAATTTGTTCCCAGGTCTGTGGTCTGGAAATTTGCAAAATAATTCAGAGCTTAAAATCTTATCCATATCTTTTCCTTAGTTTCAGACACTATCAGAGTATGATGTAATGAGTCATTTTCCTTGCTTTCAGAAAAACCTGAAAAAAAGAATAAACTTAGAAGTACACAAAATATATTGAAAAATATTAATAATATTTTACATATTAATATGTACATTTAAATGAATTAAGCACAACACCACGGAAAAGATCAAAACCATGTGGAAATAATTCATATGTTCTACATATAAAAAGTATTTCTAGAATTTAGATTTTATTCTATGGTAACAGTAAATAATCACAGGAATTTTCTTTAAACTCAAAAATAATTTCAAGAATTTCAATGTAAATATTTAATTTTGTGTACCCTAATAACAGTCATAATATTTCTTAAATAGTTTAATCTGTAGTTTTCAGTTATTGGGACTGGATTCAGAAATATGCATGTATACACGTATGTGTGTATTTGTGTGAGGTTTTTTACATATGCATTTCTGAATTCTGATAACAGAAAAGTACTGTTTACTTTTCTGCATTTTGATTTTTGATGCCTATTTAAGGAAAATTTAAGATAAATTTTGAATTTGTCAACTTATAAACTATTTTAGAACTACTATTCTTCCTTAAATGAACCCAGAATATCATAAATCATTATCCATTACTATGTACTTAATTTTGGAAGAGGTATGTGTTTACATACTATTCAGTAGTCCTTTAGGATGTCTATGAATTAAGTAACAGAAATTTTTCATACTAGCAGAAGAAAGTTTTAGCCTAAAACAACAATTATTCTCTGAGAAAAAACATAAATCCTAATTAGAACAGAAAATTTATTTAAACCTGTAATTTGGATTTGGGCCTTTGGCCAGAAAGTTTGTTTATGCTTGAGTAAATATAATCAATCATTCAGATGACAAATTTTCATCTCAAAATATGATGTAGCATGAAAAATTGTAAAAACTTGTATTCAAATTTTTATATCAAGTTTTAAAATAGGACTAAATTTCAGAATACATATAATACATTTTAAGCAGCTTAATATCTAGGGAACATCATTCATACTGTTTCATAATTTTCTAATTTTACAAACAGATTACAAATTCTTGATGTCAATTAATGATATGTTTATAAATTGACTTTTAAGACAAAAGAAACAAAAATCCTGTACAACCAACTAAATGATAAATATACACCACATTTAACCATGGGAGAAGAAAAAAAGATAACTGACTCTGAGGTGCTAAAATTAAATGCCTAAAAAATTACAGCTCTTACTCATAATTTTGTAGATAAATTATAATCCATAATAATCCAGTGGATACTACTTGCTCTGCTATCAAATACTGAATTTTGATCTACAGCATTTTTTTCTATAAATCAATCTTTTCTATCAACTTTGAACTATTTTTTCAATGGAGCCTTTTTATTTAAAGGGTACAACTGTTGTCCTTTTAATCTGATCAATCACAACTCAGATATATTTATTCTCAGTTTTTTTCAAATCCTGACACATCTGGTAAACATAAAATGCAAGAAATTATTTTGTTCGGATTATTCAACAGGCTGTACGGAAGTTTTTAAGGATATCTTTTACATTTTTCTTTCTTTTTTTTTTTTTTTTTTTTTTTTTTTTTAAATTTTATGTAATTCTTTCTATTAATGTATTACCTAAGCCCTAGTAATGTAATATAAAATATTTTTCCCACTCTTTTCACAGAAATTCTTATCCAACAATGAACAATAAAATTACTGTGCATTATATTAATTTTTTTTAGTCGGAATTTCCATCACTTCAACACCTTTTTCTAACATAAACTAAGTTTCAACACAATATTTGATATCTAATTAACAAACTTATGAAGATCGTGCATTATGCAAATAACTACTAATTTAAACTGACACAAATCAAGACAAATACGAAAATGACAATCGGTGAAATCAGCATCAAGCATGTAATTGTTTCCTTTTATAATGCAAACAAACACTGTTATCATAACGGCAGGTACACATAATTCAAATTAAAGCGTTTAAAGCTTTTTCAAAAATTTCAGTACCATTCAAAAACGTCTGTCAAAAATTCTGTAATATCAGCAAATAAAAAATAACAAATCGCTTGGCGAAGACGCCATGTTATCTTACCTGTTCTCGTTCAACTTTCTAGGGGCAAGGTACCTTTCACCTGTTCGGTGTGCAGCAAATCACACCGCCCCTTAGCTTATAAAGGTTGATTGAAACATTTAAAACCATTAAACACATAAGACAGCTGTTTACTAAGGCACAAAATTCCTTTCACAATAAAGAATACAAAATGCAATTGATGCAAAAATCCCAAATTGAAATGAAATCCAAACTTTCCCCACGGTAAACACTACAATATGCTTCCGCCGCAACAAACGAGAGAAACAGACAACAGAATAAACGCTCTGTTCGCCAAATCGATGATTCTGATATTCTTCATCGATGAAACTGGTATTTATCGCCCTCTGGTAGCCGTATGTTGAAACACAAACAGTCCTGAAATTGATAGTATAAAATTTATGTAACAGACAAAAGTTGTTTTAGAGTGTAAATAAAAACATAATATTCGTAAAAATTATAATTATAATAAAGAAAGAAGAATTAAAATTTTTTATGATATAAAGATGTTGAATTGAATTTACCATTTCTTCTCAGTACTAAAATCCATGTAAAAATTAAAGTGTTCTTTACAGGCGAACAAAATTTTAGCGGGATTGTATCGCGCGAAGGAAGTTACGAAGTGATCTTACAAACAAATTTCGATCTGTCGAAACCGTAATGAGAAAAATCTCACCTTCCAGATCATAGTTTTGTATCGTACCTGACGTAACTGTAAATTTCTCCATTGATATGTACTGCTTATTACAGAAAATAGTCTTTGAACAGATGCACTACTTTCTGAAAATGAGAGAATAAATACTGCAGTATTCCAAAAGTCTTGAAAAAACCTGAAAGATATACGTGAGATGCTCTTGTCTTTTGAGGTCATTTACTAGAAAATTTTTCTCATTTACTAGTAAATTTTTCAAACAATCATATACTGAATTTACAAGATATAATAGAAACAATATGTGTGGAGAGAATAATGCTTGAGAGAGGAATTAATTTTGCAAAGAGAGGGGTTCTATTCAATGCACAATTTATTCTAGATTTTCTAGAAACTCTAGAATAACTTTAGAAACACATGTTATTATAGAGTTTCGAGAAAAGGTAGACATAATCTGGGGGTAAGAAAGCATTTCCGACCCGAATGAATTTATGGAATTAGGAGTTAGACGTTTTCTGTTTCTTTAGTCATTTTAAAGCCATGATTCTGAAGTGAATAGCGAAGGTTTTAATAAGTCGCATTTGTTTCAGTCGAAATATAGTTGATCTAGCTTTCCTTTTATTAGTAAATATGGCTCCTATCACACGAAACAAACACAGTGCTGATTTCAAATGCAAAGTCATTCAGTTTGCGACAGAAAATGGAAATCGTGTTGCAGTAAGGATATTTGGTGCTGGTGAAAGCTCCGTACATGAGTGGAACAAAAATTAAGTCACAGTATTTAATATGCCAAAGAATAAAGGTGCGTTGCAAAAAGAAGTAATGAGCTGGCCTATCTAGAAAAAAAGTGTTGCGAATTGGGTCTTAGAAAATCTACGAAATAGATTAATTGTAACAAGAAGCAAAAAGTGGCAAAGTGGGTAAAACGAAATGCAAATGAAAATGAAAATTTTAAAGCAACTGTGAGTTGGTGTAGTTAATTTGTGGCGCGGAATATTTCTACGAGAAAAAAACAAATGTTTCTCAAAATCTTCCGAAAGATTTGAACGACAAATTGATAAGTTTTCAGAAATAGGGTACTGACCTACGAAGGCAAAAAAAAATTACTTCCTGTCACATATTGTAATTATGGATTAAATTCCAATAATGTCTGATATGATCGGAAATAAAGCAATTGATATGGAAAAAACAAAAAAAGGTTCACATAAAAACTAAAAGTCACGAAACATTTCACACCATTATAGTGCTTTCCTGGTTAGTGGACGATACAATACTAAAACCTATTTATGTTTTTTAAAGAAAGACGAAGTTAAGATGCAGTTTCTTAAATGGTGTTCTCATTCATATTCACAAGAAAGGATGCATGGATCAAATTGATGTGAGATTGTGGATAAGAAATGTTTGACAAAAGCATCCTGTTGCCTTAAAGAATCCAGAAAGCGTTTTAGTTTGGAAAATGTTCAGACCCCATCTAATGTACGAAGAAATTGTTGAAAGAGTGTAATACAGATATGGCAGTTACTCAAGACGGATTAAAGTCAGGTTGTTAGAAAGTGAAAAAATATTCACAAAAGGAGGCGAAATGCGTCATGCCAGTCTAGGAATAATGTGTGATTGGATAATAAAAGCATGGAATTAAATTAAACTTGATCGTAGTTCAAAATTGATTGAAAAAAGTGTAGTATATCTAACTATGTAGATAGAATGGAAGATGATTATTTACAGATCATAGTAACAGTGATGGTGAGGATGAAACAGAATTCCACGATGTGCATTAAAATAGAAAACAGAACGTAAGACTTTCTTTCATGAAAAAACTTTTCATGTTATATGATAATGAATTTTTTTTTAAGTTCGTAAGGCATGTCATTTGTCTTAAATAAAGCAGCATTTAAATACACGTAGAAATCTAATTTTTATATGCTTACCTTTTCCTTATTTTTTAATCGACTATTTTTATATCCGGAGCATAACGCGCACTCGGAAATTTCAATTTTAATTTTTTTCTTAAAAGCGAGCGTTATTCTGCAGAAGATATGGTATATAACCTACTGTAAGAAAATGAAGTCGAAGCACTTGTCTTTCTATCTTTCACAATGCCCCAATTTTCTTTTGTTTTCGTAAGCACTAGAAGTTTCTTACAATATAAATTTCAGAGGATTTATTTTTCAGAAAACCAGTTTCGAACCCTAAAGTTTGGATAGGGGGCCTACCGTATTTACTTATGTCCCCATCTACCAATATACTTAGCCTCAATGTGCTCCACAAACCATAAGGGCATAACCCCATGCAAAATCTATGCAAACACATATGGTTTCAGATTCATCAATTAGCTTTCGAAGGGAAGATTCCAACGATGGTAAAATAAAAAGGATTTTATAAAGTGTCAGTAGTATATTAGGCTTCGTTCAGACAAGGGATTTTCCATCATATGGTTTTGTGCTCAAGGCGGAAAAATTAAGTTTGTTTACACCTGTATTAAGGTTCTAAGCCTTAGCCAATCAAGGAAGATGAAGTTGCGTAAGCATATATGTGAAACTTACTCAGTGAAACCATGGACAGAATGCTCGTGTTTGTTTTGCTATGATCAGAGCAGGCTTACTCAGCGGGAACCATTTAATTTGTTATAACTTAAGTTAAAAATTTCTTGTAGTTTTAACAATTCTTAGATATACTAATAGAAAAAGTGAATTTTTATTTCAGCATCAGAACCAAGAAATGTAATTATTTAAAATTATGAAAATGTAATCATATGACTTGATAAATTTACTGCAAAATATTTTATATTTTCATCAATTTCTTAAATACTGACCATTTGGAGGCTCTAAATTTAGCTTGTTTAGCTTATGCATACATTCTATTTACGTGCAGTAGTAAAAAGATATTTTATAATTATATTAACATCAAGCATTATGTTGCATTAAAATTTGCTGGTGATAAAGAATTCAGAATATTTCATTAATCAAAATTAAAATATTAATTTTTAACATTCGCTGTAGGAAAACAAAAAACGCAGTAAATCAGAAAAGAAAACAAGAACCTCAAACTTGCAAACTGATGCCTCTGCATAAAGGTGGCAACACCACAGTCACAGTTCCCTTGTAGAGTCATTAGGTTGATTGGAAGCAGAAAAGAGGGAAAATATGCAACCGCCTTCAACGGGAATCGAACCACGGACCTCTGGAATACCGGCCCAGCGTGCTACCGTTACACCACGAAGGCACGCTAGGAAGTGGGAGAAATACCTTATATACTCCCCCCCTTTTTAAAGGGCGACTAGGTTTTTAGGGGACTTAGTCGCCAAATCCTGGGTGCGGAGAATCATCATTCACAACCCTTTTAGTTCGGGCGACACTTGTAGAGTCATTAGGTTGATTGGAAGCAGAAAAGATGAAAAATATGCAACCGCCTTCCCCGGGAATCGAACCCCGGACCTCTGGAATACCGGCCCAGTGTGCTACCATTACACCACGAAGGCAAGCAAGGGAAGTGGGAGAAATGCCTTATACCCTCACTGCTCGCTTACTGTAAGTCGGGGTTCTAGGTATAGCTTCCCTTCACAAATCTCATTGCTGATGTTTATTCTTCGATTTGAAAACAATTATCGTATTTTCTTGTGTTTGCTGTAGTGCAACTGGCTATCACATCAAGCTAGCAATCGGAAGATTCATAATTCGAATCCCAGTAAGAACACATTTGACTTCTCTCTCCGAAAATTCTAATATTCATCACATGGCTAGAAACTAGAACAAGCCACTTTGTAGTACCATAGGGTGACTGAGGTACTAACTAGCTAACTTTTATCTAGCTAACTTGTTAAGCTTCCTCCACAATTTGAAATTCCAAGAGAGAACACCGCGAGGTAGGGTCCGAAAGTCTCCATCCCTCGTCCCCTATAACCAACCTCTGTGGAGAATTTCCATTAACCGTACCCCTTTGCCGCACAGGCACTATACGCTTGCAAACAACCATGGCTTCTCCGGAATTCGACCACGGGCCTTTCGATACGGTCGTAAGTGTTGCTGATCATTATCTCGTCTGGGAGACTAACAGTCATTAGAATAGATACTGAAGTAAAAATAAATGAAAAATAAATCATAGGTGCTTGGATTTGGCGAACTGGATCTCATGTTTCTTCCCACTGGCCGTTTAAGTAAGAGAGAAAGTAAGGAGTTATTGTATTCCCCCATGTGGGATGCTGGAACGTAAGTGGTTAGCACGTCTGTGTGGCAAACTGGAAGATCCGGGGTTCGAATTCCAGACAGAGCATAGTTGATTATTCAAGTTTCCTGTTTGGAAAGTCGTATGAGTTTCCTGTTTGGAAATTCGTATTTTGTTAGAGGGGGGAGGACAGGATTATTTATAGGGTATAGGATAACTTTGAGCCCAGTAAAATATGAGGCCTTAAGATAGGGTCTTGTATGCATAAGTGGTTATCCGGCCTTAACTTGCCTGATTCAGATTAAAAATTTTGATCTTTACGAAGACGCCAGCACCTGCATATTAGTGGTGCGCTATGGACGTTTTATGCATTGAACAGCCTTCATAAAGTTCCGGCACCTTTATAAGCTTGCTTTATTTGACTAAGACAACGCACAAAAG